AACCCAGTAGTTTGAGGCTGCAGTGAGCTATGCATGCCATTGCATTCCAGCCTGAGCAACAGAATAAGGCCCTATCCCTTTAGGGTCTTTTTCAGTTGAAATTACTTGCTGCCAAGAAAACAGAAAATACAATGAATATTCTGAAGTGATAAAATTCTATAATGCTGTCAGTTATCATTTTAAAAGAAATTACATAACATTTTTTTCTTTGAAATGTTACAGACTACCACCAGTTTTCTAGAAGGGCTCTGGATTCTTACATATTATGTACTTTACCCTTTTATAATTAGGTTTTCTTTTCTATTATCATATAGTTTCACAGCAAGATTCACTATGACTATTAACAGCAATAAGATAGATTTTCAAAAAGTAATGGCTTGTTTAATCTAACTTAGAACACAGAAAAGAGCATTAAACAAACAGTCACCAGGGTCCAAAAATTGCAAATCAGGGATCTCTCATTCATTGTGAAAATGTAAAACAAAATGAGAGCCAGGCATGGTGGCTTATGCCTGTAACCCCAGCACTCTTGGAGGCCCAGGCAGAAGAATCATGTGAGCCCAAGAGTTCAAGACCAGCCTGGGCAATACAGGCGGGGAACACATTTCCAGAAAAAATTTTAAAATTAGCTGAGCGTGGTGGCGTTCACCTGTAGTTTCAGCTACTTGGGAGGCTGAGGTGGGAAGATCACTTGAGCCCAAGAGGCAGAGGTTGCAGTGAGCCAAGATGCTGCCACTGCACTCCAGCCTGGGCAACAGAGCGAGACCCTGTCTCAAAATAAATAAAGTAAAATAAAAATAAAACAAATGAAGCTTCTTATGCCTATGTGCTGGCCTGTCTACACCCAAACACCTTTAGACATGCACCTGCTTTCTACTAGCTTAAAGAAAAATTGATCTACTAACCTGAAGAGCAGCAATGCACAAATATCAACTAGTTCCACTCTGAAAACCCTTCCAGCAAATTTGCTGCTGATTAAATACACAGACACGTAACATGTTACCAAGTCAATCAATTCAGATAAGAAAAAAAAAATCGTGGTAGGAATTACCAGGGTAAAATAGATACTACATAAATATCGCTGTTAAGAATGAAATCCGTGGCAGTTGTTGAATTCCGTCCATCTTATGCATCCTAATGCCTACTTGGCAGCCATAGACATGCTCTATTCTTTCTCTCTGCTATCCTGCATCTTCATCCCTCAAGAGAATCTACGTGTTCAAACTCTTTTATTTTCCTTACACCTTAAGAACCCAAAGACAAACCATTTGAGATACCTGCTGATTAACGTAAGCCTTAGGTTACTGGACATCCCTTTCTGCACAGGACAAGCCCCTCACCAGGACCAGCAGACAACGAAAAACACACCGTCATGGAACTCACCTAATGCATTTTATTAACATCAATAAAGTCTACCTCATGGTTTATTCATTACAAATATCCATTTAAATTGCATTTGCAAAAATGCTCCTGTCAGAAAAATTATTATCAAAACTCAGATCACCAAAAGGACATCTCAGCATAAAGAAAGGAACGTCTATTCTTCAGGGGAAGGCTGCTTCCTCCCCACAAAAACGGCCCGAGACACAGTTCTTTCAGGGAGATTCCAGGATGTCCAGGAAACACACTTCCTCGATCGTCATCCCATTAGCTCCTTAAGCACTCAATCAAAAAATCAACTTCATATAAAAATAAAAATACTGGCATTTCCTGCTTCTGATATTACTATCTGTGATGATTAATTCTGTGTGTCAACCTGTCTGGGCCACGGCACCCAGATATTTGTTCAGCCATTATTTTGGATGTTTCTATGGTGTTTTTTGGATGAGATTAACATTTAAATTGGTGGGCTTTCAGTAAAGTAGACTGCCCGTCATAATGTGCAGTGGATGGACCTCATCCAATCACTCGAAGGCTTTAATATAAAAAGATTGACCTGTTCCAAGCAAGAAGGCATTCTGCCAAGAGAATGCCTTTGAACTTGAACTCCCACACTTCCTTGGTCTCCAACCTGCCAGTCACCCTATGAGATGCTGAATTTGCTGAGCCTTGACAAATGCATGAGCCAACTCCTAAAAATGAATGAATGAATCCCAATCTCAGTCTCTGTTTCACTCTCCACACACATGCACACACACACACACGCACACAAACACATACATACCCATTGGTTCTATTTTTCTGGAGAACTCTAACACACTATCCAAAGGAAAATAAGACTTTGCCTTGAAATTTATTAAAAAGACCCATAGCTTATCCGAAGATCAACAATCAATTATTAACTAAACCAACAATGAGTCTAGGAAAAGCCAGTCAAATTCCAGATGTAGGGCTTCCTCGTTCTTTACCAAAAGTTTCATTTAACTTTCCAAAACACTGGTAGAAGACACTGCTTTATCCAAGTCAGAGAGAGAAATCTGTTCCCTATCTCCTGCCAACAAAAAAAATGCTTGAAACTAAAAATCAAGATGAGAAATTAAAATAATCATTAGCATCTTTGTAAATGTACAAAAAAAAATTCAGCCCACACACAGATAGACACAAATATGTACAAGTCAACTTTCCCTAGAAAATTCATAAAGAATAAAAGTGTAATTATTAATTATCTTTTTTTAGGAGATGGAGTCTTGCTTTGTCACCCAGGCTGGAATGCAGTGGCACATGAACTCAGCTCACTACAACCTCCATCCCAGGTTTAGGTGATTCTCCTGCCTTAGCCTCCCAAGTAGCTGGAATTAAAGGTACATGCCACCTGCCTTGCTAATTTTTGTATTTTTAGTAGAGATGGGGTGTCAGCACATTGGCCAGACTGGTCTCGAACTCCCGACATCAGGTGATCCGCCTGCATTGGCCTCCCAAAGTCCTGGGATTACAGGCGTGAGGCACCGCACTCGACCTACTGACTTATTATTATCTTGTAATAAATAACTATTGATCTGGAACCATTATTTGCATGGCTTTTCTCCATTTCTCACATAATTTCTCATATTATTCTCATAATAATGAGAAATAAGTGTGAGTCCATTTTCACACTACTACAAAGAACTACCCGAGACGGAGTAATTTATAAAGGAAAAAGGTCTAATTAACTCGCAGTTCAGTATGGCTGGGGAGGCCTCAGTAAATTTACGATCCCATCAGAAGGTAAAGGGGAAGCAAGGTACCTTCTTCACAAGGCAGCAGGAAGGAGAAGTGCAGAGCAGAGGGGGAAGAGCCCCTCATAAAACCATCAGATCTCGTGAGAACACCAAAGGGGAAAGGGCCCCTATGATTAATTACCTCCACCTGGTCTCTCCCTTGACATATAGGGATGACAGAGATTACAATTCAAGATGAGATTTGGGTGATGGGCAGTAAGTCCAGCCATATCAGGCGGTAAGGAGTATTGTAATATTAGGAATGAGTGGCCAGAACAGAACAAATTTCCTTACATAAAAGAATCACTCGATCTTCAGAATGCTAATTACTAGGGTTTCTAAAGACTCTCAGATGTGCTGTTAATGCCCTACAAGTGCCTATATCAAAACAGCCTTGGCTGTAACTATTTTTTAACGGTTGCATATGACAGGAGAGAAGGAGTCACCAGCGGTAGGCAGAGACCTGAGCATACAGATTCAACAGGGAACCTAACCAATCTCGATTCATCGCCTCCAGCTGTTGCTTTATGAAGCCATCACAGGTAGAGTAGTGGTTCTCAAAGTGCGGTCCCATGTCACCAACACCAACCAGAAACCTGTTAGAAATGCACATTCTCGGGTGGCTCACACCTGTAATCCCAGCACTTTGGGAGGCCAAGGCGGGTGGATGGCTTGAGTCCAGGAGTTCGAGACCAGACTGGGCAATATAGCTAGACCCCATCTTTACATAAAATTAGCCAGGGGTGGGTGGTGGCCTGTGCCTGTAGCACCAGCTACTCAGGGACTGAGGCTGAGGCCGGAGGATCATCTGAGCTTCGGAAGTGAAGGCTGCAGTGAACCAAGATGGCACCACCACACTCCAGCCTGGGTAACAGAGTGAGATCCTGTCCAAAACAAAAAAAAGCATACTCTTGGGCTTACCTGTCCAGTCTCTGGGAAAGGAGACCAACAAGCTGTCTCAACAAGCCCTCCAAATGATTCTGATGCATGATAAAGTTTGAGAACCAGTGACCTCTAGTAAAGTCAAATATTTGTTAATACAAGGCAGAAATAAGTTAGGAAATTCAAAAAATGCAGTGGCTGAATTTTGACCACATCACTATGCATTATGTGGAAGAAACTGCTTTTTATATTATCCCTCCTTTTTTGAATAAGGCATTCATAAAAAAATTTTTTCCCATCACTAGCATTAGTTAAAACTTTCCACTAACCTAAAATTTACAATCCATTCCAAAGGCTGCTCAGCTCAGCAAAACAGAACAACAGTAAATGTTTATAAGAAAGTTGATGGTACATTCTCAGGTAAAGCTTTCAAGTGGAATGCACCATATTTTAAGTTGCTAAACTGTATTTGTTTATTTATCTATTTTTAAGATGGAGTTTCACTCTTGGCACCCAGGCTGCAGTGTAGTGGCACAATCTCGGCTCACTGCAACCTCCCCTCCTGGATTCCAGCAATTCTCCCGCCTCAGCCGCCCAAGTAGCCAGGATTACAGGCGCCCACCATCACGTCCAGCTGATTTTTGTATTTTTAGTAGAGATGGGGTTTTGCCATGTTGGCCAGGCTGGTCTTGAGCTCCTGACCTCAGGTGATCTGCCCGCCTCAGCCTCCCAAAGTGCTGGGATTACAGGCGTCAGCCACTGCGTCTGGCCAAGTTATTACACTGTAAATATTTAGTTCTTCCATCATGTTGGATGTCAAAGCTAAAAAGGCAAAATATACACAATACTTCCACAAAGTTTTCACTTCCTGATAGGAAAATCTGCCAACGGGGACAAAATCCTATCAAAGAGGCAATTCTGCCAATCTGATTCAGACTATTAGCAGGCATTAGCATTCTGCTGTAGGAGGAAGATAAATACCTTTAAACTGCTTAATCATGTTCTGATGGTTTTCGATGGCTTCCTTCAAGATCATTTCAGGCTGGTCCATCTTCCACCGCCATGCAGTGCCCACTGGGTTGGTGTGGTGCCTAGGAACAAGAGGCAAAGTTCTAAGATCTGAACGAGGCATTAATGATGAAGTGATCCATTTTTAAAAATCACAAGATCAGGACTGGTTTCCTCCTAAGAGTTCAACCATTTATAGTGGTATTCTCCAACTTATTTTAAATCATGACACCTAACAGAGAGGGGTGGATAGAGAAATCACTCAACTCTTTCCAGAGATATTGGTCATCTAACTGACTCAACTCCAATGACAGGTTGACAGAACACTCTCTGCTGCTTTAACCATCGTAACCAAGGACATACATGGTGGGAACGGTGGCTCACGCCTGTAATCCCAGCACTTTGGGAGACAGAGACGGGCAGATCATTTGAGGTCAGGAGTTTGAGATCACCATGGCCAGCATAGTGAAACCCCATCTCTACTAAGAATATAAAAAATTAGCTGGACGTGGTGGTGGGCAACTGTAATCCCAGCTACTCAGAAGGCTGACACAGGAGAATCACTTGAACCCTGGAGGCGGAGTTGCAGTGAACTGAGATCACACCACTGCACTCCAGCCCAGGCAACAGTGTGAGACTCCATCACAAAACAAAACAAAAACTGTGGTGGCGTACACAGACAAGGCAAACTGTCACCACATGTTACTATCATCGAGGTCAACTTCATGAAGTGAGTGAGGACAGCTGAGATGCTTGCTTGGAAATCACACTGAATGGACCTGAGAATGTGTTTCTCTTGATGCAGGCCTGGGAAAAGGACAAGAAACGCCACCTGGGACCTAAGCAGCTACAACACAAATGCCATTATGGGACCAAAACCACTGCCAGAGTGTATCTTGCCCCGGGAGCCAAAGCCCCTGTATCTCCATATTCCTGAGGTCCCACCGTCATCACTCCATGGCCATACAGAAAATTACAATCTTCTGTAATCTTTTGGGTTAGATAAAATCTTCTGGGCCAGGAATGGTGGCTCACGCCTGTAATCCCAACACTTTGGGAGGCCAAGGTGGGCGGATCACGAGGTCAAGAGATCGAGACCATCCTGGCAAACATGGCGAAACCCCGTCTCTACCAAAAAATACAAAAATTCGCTGGGCATGGTGGCACGTACCTGTAGTCCCAGCAACTTAAGAAGCTGAGGCAGGAGAATTGCTTGAACGCAGGAGGCCGAGATTGTGGTAAGCCAAGATCGCACCACTGCACTCCATCCTGGCCCCTGGCGACAGAGCAAGACTCTGTCTCAAACAAAAAAAAAATTTTTTTTTTTTTTGGGTAGCCACAACCCAAGCTATACCTAGTGATATAACCATAACCAAGAACCCTGAAATCCAAAAAAAACAGGCAGCACAGCAAGGAGACCACTCCCAAGACAGACACAATGCCAGAGCCCAGGGACCAGCTCTCCAGTGTCCACCACTGCCACCCATCTCACCCTCCTGACAGGAAGAACCACCGTGTGCCCCACAGTCCCCCCAGAGCCCAAGACATCCTGCCCAGAAACCAGCACTACTACCGTAAGCAGTGGAGCTGCCAGAAATAGCACAAGCTCCCCTAGGATCTATGGACCAGAAAGCCCAGCAATACTGCCCCTAGCAAAGCCAAGCCACTGCCCCAACAAACACCCAAAGTCCAGGCCAGTGAGGCACTCACAGGAACTACAGGCACCGATTACAGCCAAAGAAATCACACGGAGACTATACTACTGTGCCTGTCTAGAAGACAAGTCAAAGCAACACACTCAACCAACACTACAGAATACTTCGCCAGGACAGAGTGTTTCCCTATGAAAACTGCTCCGCAAAAGTAGAAGAGGTGGCTGTTATACCAGATGTGCAGATATCAATGTAGAAAAAAACAAAAACATGAAATAGCGAGAACACATGACACTCCCGAAGAAACATAATAATTCTCCAGTAACAGACCTGAAAAAAAGGAAAATCTAGGCCTGTAATAGAATTCAAAATAATGATCTTAAGGAAACTCAGAGAGAAGATGAGAGAAGATGCATAGGGAATTCAATGAAATCAGGAAAAGAAGTGATGATCTAAATGAGAAATTCAACAGAGATAGATATCGCAAAAAAGAGCCAAACAAAAAACTTGAAGCTGAAGAATTTAATGAATGAAATAAATACAACTGAGAGCTTCAACAACATAACAGATCAAAGAGAACAAAGAATGCCTGAACTTGAAGATGGAACTTTTAAAGTAATCCAATCAGACCAAAAAAGAAAAAAAAAGGAAGAAGAAAGAAGGAGGAGGAGGAAGAAGAAGAGAAGAAGAAAGAGAAGGAGAAAGAAGAAAAGAAGGGAAAGGAGAAGGAAGAGCAAGAGAAGGAGGAGCAGGAGCAGGAGGAAAAAACCCTACAGGAATGATGGAACACCAATACATGAACAAATGTTTGCATTTAGAAATTCCAGAAGGAGAACAGGGGGAAAGACATGGAAAACTAAATCGATTTTAATGAAATAACAGCTGAAAACTTCCCACGTTTGGGGAGAGATCAAGCAAACTCAACATCCCTCAAATGGATTAAACGTCAAAAAAAAAAAAAAACCTCCTTGAGACACATTATAGTCAAACTGTCAAAAGACAATGACAAAGAGATTCTAAAATCAGCAATTGAAAAGCATCATGTCACATGTAAGGAAAGTGCCATAAAAATAACAGCAGATTTCTTAGCAGAAACCTCACAGGCCAGGAGAGAATGGGACGATATATTATTCTAAATGCTAAAGAAGAAAAAAAAGACCACCAAGCAAAGCTATCTCTGGAAATGAAGCAGAAATAAAGTACGTCACAGACAGGTAAAAACTGAGGGAATTCATCACCACTAGACTGGCCTTAAGACAAAAGCTTAGAGAAGTCCTAAATCAGGAGATGAAAGAATGATAACTACCATCATGAAAACACGCAAAAGTATACACTCACTGGTAAGGCAGATACACCAAGGGACTCGAATGTTACCACTACAGAGGATCACCAAACTGCAAAAATAAGTAAGAGAGTAAGAAAGCAACAAAGAATATATAAAACAACACGAATAAGTTATCAGTTATCATTAATAACTTGAATGTAAATGGATTAAATTCCCCTGTTAAAAGATATAAATTGGCTGAATGAATTTTAAAAAAAACCCCAACTATTTGCTGACTACAAGAAACTCACTTCTCCTCTAAAGATATACATAGACTGAAAGTGAATGGGATGGGAAAGTATATTCCACACAAACCAAAACCAAAAGAAGGCAAAAGTAGCTATCCTTGTATAAGACAAAACAGACCAAGTCACAAAATGTAAAATGAGACCAAAAAAAAAGGTCATTGTATATTGATAAAGGAATCACTTAAGAAAGAGGATATAACAATTGTAAATATTATGTGCCCACCACTGGAGCACTGAGCTAGAAAGCAGACATTAAGTCTAGTGGGAAAGATAGATTCCACTACCATAACCGTTGGGGCATCAACATCACACTCTCAGCATTGGACAGATCACCTAGGCAGAAAATCAATGAAGAAACACCAGATTTAAACCACTGGCTAAACTAACCTAACAGACACTGACAAAATATTTCACACTACAGTTGCAGAATACACATTCTCCTCATCCATACATAAAATATTCTCCAGGGTAGACCAAACTTTAGGCCATGAAACTAGTCTCAAAAACATGTTAAAAAAATCAAAATCCTATCAAGTATCGTTTTGGACAATGGAATAAAACAAGAAACGGTCATAAAAGGAACTTTGGAGCCTACACAGACATGGAAACCAAACAGCTCACTCACAAACAGCCAGCGAGTCAAGGAAGAAGGCCGAAGAAAATTTACAAATTTACTGAAACAAATCAAAGTAGCAGCAAACATCAAAACTTAAGGGACAGAGCAAAAGCACTAAGAGGGAAGTTTATAACAATAAATATACCAAAAGTGTAGAACGATTTCAAATAATAATCTAACAATGCACTTCAGGGAACTAGAAAAGTAAGAACAAACCAAACCCAGAATTACTAGAACAGAAAAAAACAATAATCAGCACAACAATAAATGAAATTCAGACTAACAAAGAAAACACACACACAAATCAACAAAACAAAGTTACTTTTCTGAAAAGATAAACATCGACAAACCATTTGACTAACCGAGAAAAACAAGAGAAGAGCCGAATAAATATAATCAGAAACAAAAAGTGGATATCTGCAGTGTTCGCGCCAAAGGCTTGAGACAGTAGCATGACTCGCCCCATTTTGGCTGCTGGACCTGTCTGCTCTCTTCCCCCGCTCTCGATGGCTGTCAAGTTGAGGCAAGGGTCGTAGGCTGAGCCACTGAGGCAAAAACAAGATACAGAGCAAGGGCCTGCGGTTTACGAGGGCATTGTGCTGACTGCTTTCATATCCCCTTTAATCTCTGTGTAAGCAACGGACTTGCTGCAATTGAGATGCCTGAGAGGGGCAAGGACCCCTGCCCATATTTTCTCAGGAGCTGAGCCTTTGCTCTACCTCCTGATGGAAAACATAATTAACAAGCCACCATGAGGACACCATTGTTTGATCGCACGGTGTACTCTTAAAAAACATACATTAACCTTTAAACTGCTTTGTAAGCTGTTATCTCAAGCCCCTGATAACTATTCTTACGTGGTTTCTGTTCCCTTTTCTGTTTACCCCCTTTTCTGCTGAGCTAAAGTAAATGCTGAGCTAAAGTAAATGTAACAAGAAAAAAGGTATAAAAGCTGTAACCAACAGAAATAAAGCTGCTGCCTGACTTAGGGTCATGCAGACCTCCAGACTCCGCTTTCCTTTCTTCTTTCACTTCCGCACACTCTCTCCCTCAGGTTGAACAAGACATCTACATTGGCGGTCTCAGGGACTCCCACAGGTTGGCAGCCCCCCGGCAGACATGCCAGACCCCAACAGATATTACAACCAATACCATGGAAATACAAAAAAATCACTAAAGATTATTATAACCAACTGTATACCAAAAATTGACAAACCTAAAGGAAATGTAGAAATAACTGTAG